TATATTTAATTTTAAAGTTTTAAAGCACAAAAAAGTAAAGTTAAAACATTCTTGTAAAGTTCCTAGCTTTATTTTTAGCTTCAGGAGATATTACGTCATACAACATATTTTTCCATAAATATTTAAATAGTATTGAAAAAAAAAATACCTAACGAGGATGGACGATGGATAAATATGTAAATTTTCATGGAAACCATTTTTAACTTGATCCATATAATAATATATATTCATAGAGCTTTCGGTGTCTATTTAACTGAATTGAACTATATAAATAACACTCACTTCTGACACTTTTCTATCACGCAGCACTTGCTTATATCAAATTGGAGCAATATGATGATCCCTAGGCCTCTCTCTCTCTCTGTAAATTTATCATATGCAACATTTCACCAAAAACGCACATGAAATCTATTGGAATACATTTATGATTCAATAATAATTATTATAACAAAGGCACTGCCAATGTAAGTAGCTCTATCTAAGTATTACGCATATGTATTGATAAATATATATATGTACATTTAGATATATATTCATTCTAGATCTGTTCACTCTCTATTGCAGTCTGTGCGCGTATTCAGAGTGACTATCTGAACCTGCAGGCCAGTGTGGAGAGCATGAACGAGAAGCAGAATGTTAAATTTAAGATCTGATTTGTTATACTAAACTGTTATACTTATCTATATATATATATATTTACTACTATAAACAATACATACAACACTAGTCCAGAATTTTAGTTTGTTACTTTTATTGCATTCGGTTTTATCGCTTTTAAGTGAAACAAAATATTTCCATTAGTTTTTTTTTGTTTTGTTTAATTTTAAATTGGATTTATTAAAGTATCAAAGTTTTTATTTTTAGTATTTTTGTTCTTTCTTTTCTCTTTGTTTAATTCTCTACATATACAGGCTAGTGGGGTTGTCTGATTTTGGGCAGCATTACGACAATTGCGACATTAACAGATTGATTTTTGCTTTCCTTTGCGACTTGACTGTTTCACTTAGATTTATTAGGCATTTAGTTATAAAAATGTTTCTGTTTGACAATTGTTTAGTGCTTGATATACATAATGTATGTATGTACGCTAACTTTTGGCGATGACTGTAACAAATTAACTCACACTTGATTCTGTTCCACTTACTGACTCGACAAATACACACAATTTCAATTATTTAACGCATAACTATTATATTGTTATTTTGTTTTATTGTTCATTAACTTGCTCTGGCTTAGGGTTAGCTCTCTTGGAATACTTTCTTTTAATTTCTGTTTACTGTTTGGGTTTATTTTCACCATTTAGTTTTGGAAACATTTGCTTTCATTTGCCAAAATTCTGCTGTTTATCTCAATTCTTTTTGTTTTTTAATACACTTTTTTTTTATTTTTATATTTATATATAAAAACAACTAGTTATACTGAGCGCATCATTCTTTGCGTATGAATGTTCTCCCCCTATAAATAAAGAGTATTATTAATATTGTAATAAAGCATTCTATAAAAACTGTTATATAGCTTACGTTATAGTCTTCTTTTCCGTACTCTTCGATTCGGGCCTTGCACGGTTTAGCACCTTGAGGAAGTCTGAAGTTTTTGCGCGCATGCGGGAATGAATGTACGCCTTTGAACACTGTTATAAAGTGGGAATGTATTAATATATATACTACCGATTATATTCTGATCTGATACGAACCTTAATGTGATAATGCAAATAGTCTCGGAACATGTGTATTAAATTGATAGTATTATCCCGGGTTTCCTTGTTGGTATGTCGAGGGAATAGCACTGCAAAAAATGAACCAAACATATTTTGTTAGTCTAATTACAATAGACTAGGCTTAAGGATGTATAATAGACTTTGTTCAGGTGTGAATAAATCATGTAAGTGACTAAACAAAATGCGTTAAACAGAATGTCATTCGCATAACCATTAAGTCTATTCATCGGAATTTAAAACCATTGTACTCGAACACAAGTCATCTCTGTTGTAATATGATTAATTAAACAGGATGCCGTTCGTCTTTGGGTTTATTTGGGAGTATTTGAGACACAGATCGAGAGGAAATCCCAGAATATGCCACTTTGACTCCATAGAATATAACAGATTAGGTCAGGTGTACACGAACACAAGTCATCTGTTGTAATATTATTAATTAAACAGGATGCCGTTCGTCTATTAATTAATATAGGAGCATTTGAGACACTGATAGAATATATTTCTAAATATGCCACTTTGACTCCATAGCGTATAGTATAGCACATTAAAATAAAGCAGCTTCCTAAAGAAAATGCCCTTCGTCTATTCATTAACATTGAAGTATTTGAAACAAACTGGGATAAAATCAAAGTATAACAGATTGGAGCTTCTGTACACGAACACAAGTCATCTGTCCTAATATGAATAATTGAACAAGATACCGTTCGTCTATAAATAGATTTTGGAGCATTTGAGACACCAATCGTAAATTATACTCCAAAATATACCACTTTGACTCCATGGGCTGTAGATCAGAACTTCAGCAAGTGGAGGAGTTACGTACCGAATGTAACATATCCAATGTTATCGCCCACCCGGGCATCGCTGTTAGCCAGTTCCAACGGCGGTTCACGATGCGAGAAGAGCACTTGTGGCGCTGTATGCGATGCACGGCGTCCTTCCCTCAATTCCTGCATAAATACCTTGCCAATGATCACATCGTCCTCATCTCTAAAAATGGTGCTGAACACTACGGTGACACGATCAGGCTTTGCCTCCACATAACTATCGATGAAGGTTTGATTAACTAAAATATAGTCTTTAGTTATATTACATGTACTGCTTACAGCGTCTCATCGTTGCGGTAGTTAATGACTGCTCGCTTTTGGGTCTCTTCGCCCTGTTCCTGGAAGTCAAAATATTTCTCGAACACAGAGGCGAAACAATTGCGTTTTAGCAGTCCAATTCTCTTTGCAATCTGCTCCCAGTCCGAGGGTATATCCTCAAGATTAATAAGTACAGAAACATTATAGCCTAAAAGCAAATTCAAAACACTTAACTTCGATTCCCATTATTGTACCTCAATAATTTTTCGTACCTTTTTCTGTCTCAGTTAACAGACTTCCGTATTCTCGCTTCAGTAACTCATCGGCTCCATGTTCCTGCAGCTGTTTGTAGAACTTAAGCGAGATGCTTATCTATTCAATTTGTAAAATATGTTTTTGTTATTCAATAGTTAGCAATAAACAGTACTAAATTTAAAAAAAATATATAGGACTCACCCGCACTTTTGTTTTATCACCATTTACATTGGAAATATGATATAAAACACTGTCGAAATCTGCTATTAATATATCTATCGATTCTGGTTTGAGTCTGCAATGAAAAATTTAACAAAATTGTAATATTAATATATTAATAAACCATTCCCTTCATTCCATATCTTATCAAAAGCATGCCTAGCTGATAATATACAAAATAGAAATATTGTCTGATTAATGAAAGTTCTTAAATCGGACCTTAATAGTTTGAGTTTGTGTTTGGGTTTATCTGAGAGTATTTCCGACACAGGAAACACCAATATGGCTCCAAGGAGTATAACCGATTTAGGGTATTGTACACGAACACAAGTCATCTGCATTAATATGATTAATTAAACAGGATGCCGTTCGTCTTTGGGTTTATTTGGGAGTATTTGAGACACAGATCGAGAGCAAATCCCAGAATATGCCACTTTGACTCCTCATAATTTAACAGAATTGGTCAGTTGTAAACGAACACAAGTCATCTGTTTTAATATAAAGGATTAAACAGGATGCCGTTCGTCTTTGGGTTAATTTTGGAGCATTTGAGACACAGATTAGAATAATCCAAAATATGCCACTTTGACTCCACCGAGTATAGCATTGAGTGTATTGTATTGCTTTGGCAGTCGGTACCCTTTCGGAGACTGCGGCGATGACTCAAGTGCATTTGTTATTTGAGCTCGTGTGCATGTGTGAGAGAGAAAGAGAGGTGTTTAACATACATATAACAGGGGGGATTATGCATTATGATGCGATAAACAAGCTAAAATAACTCAATAAATACTGTGTGCTTGGCTCCGGGTGATGGGAGCATAGTCACTTACTCATACACTTACACATACGCTCAGACGCACACTGATTAGAGTGCATGAGTGTACGTCAAGTTTGAACTACACCCGATTTTTAAGGCTCTCCAATGCGTGTGTGTGCGTGTAAAATATGCTGATAATCGGAACGAGTTGATAACACAGGCATAAGGCAAGAAAATAGATAAAAATAAAATAGAAAATGGGGGCACTTTTACAGTTAGAGCGAACGAAACATAGGAATAGAGGACTCACCCAGCCAGTGCATTGCGGTATTTAACCAGGAGCGTTTCCTCGATGATGCGATTATTGATTTCCAGCAATATCATCTTGATTTAATGTGTGTGTTTGTTTTCTTTTTCAATATTAAATTTAACTGTGCTTAATTAGCGAATAACCAAAAAGCGATGACAAATTTATGACGTTGCTTTTGCCGCTCCGGCTGCGAATGCGGCGCTCTTTAGTGCGGTAACTGTTTCTTTGCTGCCGCTGCTGCCGCCTCTGCCGTTGTCGCAGTCGTTGCTGCGAACACGTTCGTTGGTGTTGGTGTGAGAGACACTGTTACTTATTATGGGGGAGATTGCTGGACTGGCTGCTCCAACTCACCAACACACAGGCATTCGTACATGCACACATATGAAGAAAAAACAACATATATACATACACACAAGCCTTGGTATATTTATATGAGTATAAATGTGTGTGTGTGTTTGTATATGAGCGTGTAGCGTATTTAATGAATCAACAACAAAAAATGGGCGCAGCGTTTGCTGTCGGCTTTTTTTGGCTGATCTCTGGGCGCACACACACTTGCAAATTCCAACACACACACAATCACGCTTGCTGCCTCAGCAATTTTCTTTTACAATGTTTACACTTCAGTTACGGTGTGTGTGTGTCCTTATTCTTTTGCTCTACAATTTATTGTCTGCTGCAGCTATAATTTTCACTAATTGCAATTATTCATTTACTGTAAAAGTAGCAGAAATGTGCATTACGCGTATCCATGTGGCCAGTACTTGGCACTTGTGTGTGACCAGCTAAAACGAATGGCTTAGCGATGTAAGTATCGAAGTTATGTGTTCGATATGTGTACATATATCGATAGGGGCACGCAGCCCTGGCATAGGCAGAGTCGTAAACAGTAAATAAATAAAGTCAGTTTCTTGTTATTTTAGTATCTGGCTAAGAAACACAAATAAATGGATGACGTTGAGTTGATTAAATTAATAGAAAAGTATCCAATACTTTATGATAAGGACAGTGCGCGTAGTGCCAAGAATGCAGCCAACAAGGACGCAGCGTGGAAAACCATTTCCTTAAAACTGGGAGCCAGCGAGCGAGCCTGCATTACCCGTTGGAAAAGTATTCGAGATCGCTTCGGCAAGGAGTTTCGTCGGTTCCAGGAGAATCCCGACAGTCCCACCTATTGGGATATGTTTCCACGTCTGCTCTTCCTGAAAGATCACTACAAACATGGTTTGGTTAAGCATGAAAATTTGGATGCAATGAAATTCGAGCCGCGGCATCGAAAGCCGCGACGAACGCGATTGGATGATCAGGAGAAGAAGCAGCGGGAGGAGGATTACGTGGAAAATGCAGAGGATATTGAGCTATGCCAGCAGCTTATTGAGCTGGTCAAACTTCATCCCGTGCTCTATGATAGACATAAAATAAGAATCTCCAAGAATTTATCAGCGAAAAATGATGCCTGGAGAGCAATTTCTGAGAGCCTAAGCGTTTCGGGTAAGCTGGAGAGTATTTGGCGAACCTACTTTATTACTATAAATATTCATATTTAGAGGAACTGTGCTATAATCGTTGGAAAAAGCTGCGCGATCGCTTTGCACGCGAATATCGCAATCATCAGATCAATCAATCGGCACCGATTACCTGGAGATACTTTAATGATTTGCTCTTTCTGGGTCGGCACTTTCGCAAGGGTGTGCCGCTGATCATCGAGAATATCAAGAAACGGGGCAGACCACCAAAAGTCGCTCAAGGACAAGAACAAACGAAGAGGGTGACGAATCTCATTTGGGGCGCAGACTATCCTTATAGCACAGACAATGACCAGGATGAGGAGGAACTAGAGGAGGATGAGGAGCTACAGTATGAGCATCAACAGGATTTCGAGGTGCTGAACGAGACGGACCATAAAGCGCATATGGAATTTGTACTCGACGAGCATGATTTGTTGAAGCAAACAGAACTAGAACCGGAGCAGCAGCAGTTACATCAGCAGCAGCTAGTAGGAGAGCAGCAGGAGACAACTGTAGAGACAAGTTTAACAGATGCATCAGTCTCTGATCCCTCAGCCTCCTGCAGAGAGGAGGATCCAGCCTTACCCACAGCTGAAAAGCTAATGGGGACAGTTATCTCAAATATGGAGACCGTGCTACAACAGTCGAAGGATTGCCTCCAAGCTCTGCAACAGGCAGTTAATAATACGCCCGCCCAGACATCAAAGAGCCTGCTAAGCAAGGTCCAAATGCTGCTGGATGGGCTGAATGTGGAGCAACGAAGGCAGGCGGAACGCAAAATTGTGCATTTTCTGTGTGAATGTCAGATAAAAACGCTTGATGGCCAAGAGATTGAGGATGTAGCTCCCTGTCACATATTCAATTGATAAATTATTGCATTTAAGAATTGTAAATTAAATAAAGTTTATTATATTTTTAGCGTATATACATATCACATCTGTATTTATTAAATGATCTATCAAATTCAAAACAAATTCAATTATCGGTAGCAAAGCGCGCTAAGTTATCGTTCACATGCATTTCGCATTCCGCTAATAGCGCTAGATGGCGCTGTAGTTTGAATAGCGAGTTAAAAATAATATTAATTAAATTAATTTGCATTACTTTGAATATTTAAATAAAATATAGCATACAAAATTACTTGAATAACAGTTTGAACAGATCAATATCGATAAGCGAGTGCGCACAACTATTGCTATCCGCAAACTTGCTAGATGGCGCTGGAGTGCATATTTGAATGGTACGTTACGCACAAATGCTAAAGCCAAAAAAAAAAAAAACAACAAAAATGAACGCCTACGCTTGGCATCATTTATTGCAATTAATAACGCACACACATGTTGGAGCAACACCAATGGCAACAATTATAAACAAATTGTTGGCATATCATGCATTCGAGTTTTGTGTTGTATTATTATTATAATTTTTTTCTCGTGTAAATTCGTGGTTTAACATTCGGTTTAAATAGTTGCCATGCTCGATTCACACGGTGCAGTCCGCTTGGCCGTTTTTGTTGCTGTACGTCAAAGAGCCGCCAAAATATAACGAATTATTAAAATAATAAACTTTGGCGCACAAAGCACTTTTTAAGTGTCTGTTTAAAGGCAGTGTGTGTTCATCAAGTAGTATGTTCGTGTGTGTTTGTGCGCCTTTTGTTTTAGCGCGTCATAAACTAATTTTATACAAATAAACGACGTCGACGTCGGCAACGTTTGAAGTTATGCGGATTTGTATCGCGGGATTTGCTATGGTATGCTCGCAACGGTGAATCCTAGTACATATGTATGTATCTACATCTGCATATAAGAACATATATACATATGTATGTACATATGTGTGTGTCCGCGCACAATGTTGTGACACCTGCAGGTCTCATGGATAATGTGCTCGTATGTGGTTTACGGTAAATATCATAAGGCGCATTGCCATTAGCGCAGTCAACTTTGACGCCGACGGCGCTTTAATAGTTACATAGGAACACACATACAGACATAGAAAGAGGGAGAGAGAGAGAGAGTAGCAGAGTAGCGTTCGGTGAGTAGCAGAACAGTTATTTATTAGCATGCATGTCGCTTAAAGCTCTCCACACAACTGAAAATGCTCTTCACATTTAAAGTTCACATAACCTTTGGCATGTAGGCGTGCGTGGAGTGTGTGTGAGTGTGACAGATGAATCATTTGTTGCCTGTCAGTGGGCATATTATTGGAGTCTACCATTGTCATCAATCACAGCCCGATTTAGCTTTGCTCTCTTTCGCACTTTGGCACTTTCACCGAGCGAAGCAAATGTGTCAACCCTAACCTAGCACACACACACAGTGCCTACAATCTATTTACGTCTGTCTGCAGTGGGACTTGCAATTGTCTATGCGCGAAATTTTGTATAATTGCCAATTGCCACGGATTTACTCAATTGCCGCAGTGGCGACTGCGTCGGAGACGACCAAAATAAATAAAAAAAAGAGTCGAAAATTAATTATGCGGCAATGTGTGCCAAATTAATTGTACATACGTATGTATGTATGCATGTAATTACATGTATGTAACATTGTACACATATTTATATAATATACTGTGTGTATACACATAACAATACTTTCAAATAGTACAAAACTCTCGTCTTGCCTGCAAATTGCTATGCTCTCTCTGTTGTTTTCCATACATAAGTACATATGTGTGTGTGTGTATGTGTAAGCCCCCGTACTGTTTTTGGCATATGTATGCACGGCTTGCATTTCAATAAATACTTTTATGTGTATGCGTAGGAAGCAAAGCATTAAAACCATTGGAATTTTGAATAAGCTTGGAAAGAGGTTCAAAAAGAGTTTTAGTTTTTGATAAATGTCACGAATGATATACATATACAATCATTACAATGCTATCTGTCTGTGACATATCGAATGACTCGTGTGATATTATATTATTATAATGTACACTATATAAAAAAAATATAATAATTAATACATATATAAAAAGGTTATATTTTACACTCACTCCTAATGTCGGCAAGTGATATCGCCAAAAACACCAAGTGATAAGAAGTTATAGTTAATAACATTTTATGTTGAATAATATTGATCGCTTTCTATAAGTTCCGAATATATCACATAGATATCGTGTTGAAAGTTTATATAAAATTGATAGCACCGACTATTGTAGAGCTTATATATTATTTATTTTAGTTGTTTGTTTAGTAAGTTGCCCCGACTATCTTTAATTCAGCAGAGATGTTTGATAGCATTATTTTCTAGTTTTTTTTTAGCTGTTCTCACATAGCATCCATTGAAAACTCTTTCATACCACGCCCGCACGCCCAAATCATGTTTTAAGTTTCGAGGCAACATCACGTGTCACGTCACGTATGGAATGCTGCCACTTACGGGCTACAGGCTACAGACTACGTAGTACGGAGTACGGGGTACGGGCTATGGACTATGTGTGCCCCTCGCACACCCATCAACCGACCAACGAACCAGCCATTGTGTAGGCTCTGAGCCACTGCAGCAACATTTTGTTTTATAGCCAAATGCCAGTTGGTTGCAAACGCTTCGCCACGTTTGAGGGCATGCTCTGCATTTTGCATGACCGCAAAAGAAGAAGAAAAAAAAATAGGTTGAAAACAATTTGCAATAAAATTGCAAGCAGCGGCTACGGCTCAACCTCAACCTCAACTTCAACCTCAGCCGAATGACCCAAGCCCCATAAACAAAGAGCTGCGATGCGAGACGTATCTGCAGCATTGTCCAGCCATTGAGTGGCTGCTGCTACTCCTGCTGCTCTTTCTGCTGCTGCAGTTGCTGATGCGAGCTTTGAACTTTGGCGCCATTTTGCTGACCGTTCAGTCAAGCGAATAAATTTTCGCTTTGTTACTTACAAAAGGCAGACGGACGAACGGACGGCCGGACGGACTGCAGGTGGCGGTGGCTGCAAAAGTTCGACTGAAACTTGCTAGCTGTGCTGGCTGGCAGCAATGACCTACAAAGCGTTTACAATTTACGACTTTTATAGCGCAATGAATGAAGACAAACGATACGCAAAAGATGAAAGAAAGCGAAAGATAGAGAGAGCGAGAGAGAGGGAGATCGACTGCTAGAGAGGGAGAGTGAAAGCTGGCCCATATCCTGGCTGCCAGACGTCTGGCGTCCAACATTAATGCCGCCTTGTGCCAAGCTGTTTAATTGCACTTGCGTGCAACTTACTGGAAGTGCACTTACGTCAATTAACTCAAAAGGCGGAGAGCGAGAGAAAGGGAGGGAGAGTGAGATAGAGAAAGGATAGCGAGACGGAGAGAGAGATACAAGGCCTTTGGCATACTGTGCGTATGCGTAATGTGTCAAGCTGGCTCGTTGCTAATCATCGCCAGCATCATCAGCCGTGCGACGCGTCAACATCTGACAAGGGGCCGAGGCATTCACACGGCTTCCACACACAACAATACAAACTCACATACGGGCGTATTTAATGAGAGAGCATGAAGCTAAAAATAAATATAAATAAAGCTAACATTTTGCGAGGGTCTATTAAAGTGTTTGACAGAATTTTAAATATCAAATAAATATCGGATAAAAATAAGAAAATATATAAATTGAGTAATTGTTTAAACAAGTTTATGTTTCACAGCTTACCTGCTCAGTTGCCAGTTGGCAATACTTAAGTCTCACCTGCCTTACACTTACATTTAACTTGCTGATAAACTGGCTGATAAAGTGCTGAAAAGTGTGTTTACTGAGCAAAGCAAATGGGCCTTATAAACATATTCAATAGCTTAGCGCATAAACGACCCTCTCAAGTACACACACACACACACACACACACACACACACACACACACACACACACCTACACACTCACAGTCACACATACATATGGTAGAACTGTTAGCCATTTGGGGTAGCTGCTCTATATAGCATTTATATATGCCTGTACGAGTTTTACGATTCGCAATTACTTTGCTATTTTGGCAATATATTCTGCTCTCTTTCTTTCTCTCTGTTTTTTTCTTCTTTTTTTTTTTTCTATTTATACTACTGTTTATATTGGTGTGAAATGTAGATGTAAACGGGTATATAGGTTTTTAGTTGTCTAATTGAGGGGGATCCAGTATTTTGGGTAAGAGAATCAATCAATTCTATTCCATATATTAAATTATTATATATTTTAAATATGTGTATATGTTTTAATATTTGTATTTATGTTGGGCGTATTTAAATTCTCAGAAATCCATTTGCATAACACTCTATATGATTAATTTTATTGGAGAACTAAACAGGAGGTGTAGCTAAGTAATTTTTACAATTTGGTAAGGGTATGCAATAGAACCTATACGCTTTTTCAATATGTGATCCGGTATACAGGACCTTGGAGGGAATACACTGCACTCATGTTCATAATTATCGATCAGACTTTTCTCAATAAAGTCAAATACAGGTGTATTGCTAAATCGTAAACACCCGTTCTGCAATGATCCTATTTGTTTTTCTGATGTTGTTGTTGTTGTCGTCGTCGACGCGGCGTCTGCTTTTGTGTCTGCATTTGCGTCTGCTCCACACACTGCCCCTTTGGCCTTGCCCCCTGCCTCAGCCCCTGCCCCAAACCCATCCGCGTAGGTCTGATTCAGCTAGCAGCGGAAAGTCAGCAGTGTAGAAGGCATTTATGGAGGCCTTTATCTGGTGGCAATCGTTCTATTCGAGAAGTATTCAAGCAGCCAGCCAGGCAGCCAAGCAAGCACACCGAGTTTATTGGCTCTGTCAGCTGGCATAGATCATGATTAGTTATTGTTCCATCGCCCATTACTCATACGCATCATGGCACTTTAGGAAGGCGTGAACCAAACAGACAGCAAATTAGCGCTACAGAGCACATTTGGATTTTTATTGATACGCCAATTTAATTACATTTT